AACAACGTAAAGACATTCTCAAGGTACTGATGCAATCCCATCACAAAAACTCTACAAGTTATGTTATGTAAGTTAAATAGGATAAAAATAAAATTCAAAATTGGTATTACTAGTGCCCTGTGGGTTCACACGCTGTCGGATGCTGCGTGTATGTCGCTAGCGTACTGTGATAGTCGAGTTTTGCATGCTGCAATCTAAATCAACTTGAAAGACCTCTTTCTCTTATCTGAATTATACCATTGATGCAGCAGATCATTCAGACGGATCCGGGGACACAGACGAAAGTGATGAAGATGCCTCGAATGTTATTTACTGTTTGGCCTAAAAAATACTAAACAATAAAAATCTTGAACGTGGCTTGCTATGACGACTTCCTTGAGGAAGAATAACATTTTTCTACAAATTTCTTCTATGGGTCCTTCTTTGTCATTTCTGCTGTTGTTCTCTCGTCTTTTCAGAAGAAGTTAAAAGGAGGATTTCACTCAGTATGAAATAAATACGAGCGAGTAATAATCGATTGCAGTATGCCAAACAGTATGCTAATGCAATTCACAAATATGTATCATTCAGTAATTTGTTAATGAAAAGTGACAATAATAAAAGTATTGTAGTCATGCTGCGCACATCTTCCGAAGGCGACAGAGTACGCGGCAGTATAAAATCATCATCAAGCAGTAATACTGGCAAATGAAACGGCGCTTAACTGAAACGATCTGTCACACCAGTTCGATTTTTGCAGAATTCTGCAGTTTCAATTTCCAATTGTAATTGCTCCATATAAATTAATATTACAATTTTGAAATAGTTCATTTACTTCAATATTAATCGCAATTGTATATTGTGAATGAACGTGTAATAGAGTGGTAGTGTATTTGAATGATGGTTGTCTTAAAATTGCTGCTGGCAATGGAATATTCATTGTACTCGTTATGTCTTTTGAATTAGCATTTCTACTATTTTCATTATTAAGAAATTGATAATTAAAATGTGTATATTTAAATATTTCTGGTTTATAACAATTTTCTGGCTGAAGAAGAGTTGTTTGCTTTAATCGAATTTCAATCGATTGAATTGTTTTTCGTTTTGGCTTTTGTAAAAGTACGAATGAATTTCCCGATATGTAGAACTCGATGTGCTTTAGCGAATGACACCAGACTCCAAGTTTTACTATGAAAATGGACAGACATTTTACTAAATGGTTGAAAATGCGACCAAAAAAATGGAAAAAACTGAAAAACCCTTTTTCTCGAAATCTACAAGTCCGCGAATCGAAACAATTTTGGGATATATAGTTTGAAGTGTCCTCTACAAACTGGAAGAAGAAACTAGGTGGGCGGCCCCTCTTAACTTTCTCAGAAGGCTAGTTTGAAGCAAAAGTTGTGCTGATATGCTTCAAAGATATTGTGTTTGAACGTGACGCAACAAAAATCATCAAGCCATACGGTCCTTCTTTGAAAGAAGGATAATAACAATTTGAACTAAATCGTTCATATGATCTCAGAGTAGGATTAGACCGCGTCATGTTAGCTTAGTCACTGACTGCCCTGCTTCTTGTGAAAACAAGGAATCCTTGACTTTCTTGATACATTGAAATAACGCCATAAAACAAATGTCAATGCAACGAAAAATTATCTTGGCTTCGAAAACTGATATTGAGATGAAAAATCGCTCCTTGCATGTACATTCTCCTGCAGTCAATCGATCGACAATGTTTGAAGTAAAATAAGTCAATTTTGCAAAAATCTTTTGATACTATCGAAGAATTTGTTAAGCGAATCGAAAGAAAATGTTATTTGTTTCCTTGCTCCTCACACATGTAATCAATATAATAATATGACAGGTTACAACACACAACAGCGAAATAGTTTTTTCGTAACAGTGAATAAGTATAACAACAATGGCAATTATATGAACAAATTGGTGTTGCCACAATGACCGAGTCTACGCATATTTTCTGATTAATTCTGAATTTAACTACACATGTTGAAAACACATAGCAACAGTTGTCTAAAACGAAATTGTAACGTTGACCACTTCGATTCAGTTTAGACTGGCAAGCATCACTAGAAAGTCTGTGACGCTGCCAATCACCCATATATCATGAACATCAAGATAGAATGCATTTGATCTACAATGACAAAATCACTGCTGAAAATTACCTTTTGCGATTTTTAGGTTAGTTTTTTTCTCGAATTGTCATTGTTCAATTGATTAGTGGGATTACATACAATAAATTTTCATTATAGTTCTCCATTGTATGTTATCCAGATCTACCAAAAAAGGCCACATATTCAAATAAGCGATAAAATTCTAAAATAATTATGTTTGTTGTTTATTTTTGACTGCAATAGCATATCAGTGACGGTTTATGCAATCGATCTACGGAAATATTAACTCGCCTCTGCATCTGACATAGGTCGTCAAAATCTAGATTAGTTTTCCTAGAAACGTGAGGACTGAATCTAGATTCGTACCTTGAGCTAGTAGAACCTTGGAAGTTGTTTCCATTAATGTGGGATTTTCAGATTGAGGTTGTACTTTTTTTGCGGGAAAATCAATTATAATCTGTTAATTGCACTAAAGAATGAATTTAGAACATGCTGTATTGGATACTTGCGCCATTGCAGCAGTGGTAATGACGTGATCCATTGGGAATCTCGTAGCAACTGATCTATTTGTACTCACTTTTGGCACTGCACTATTATCTGTTCGGTATATTTTCTTTTTTCAACATTTTAAGTTCTGGTGAGCTGAATTTAATCGCGTTATTGAAATGGAAATATAGGCAGCCCATTGTGTCGATTACTAATCTGATATTAGCTTGAGCTACTATACCATTTAAGATTTGATTTTGTAAAAAACAGTTTTCTAGAGTCTAAGTTCTTGTTTCACTGAGAGAGCATATTGAGCTAACCACAGAAAAACGAGCGGAGACGTTAGACTAAATTTCGAAAGATCTCAAATAAGCAAGTTGCTTTTATTCAAAATGGTAAAGGTGTTTTATTCTGAAATATAAGGTACCGGCAATGCAAAATTATAGTAACATTTTCTTTTCTGCTTTTTCTGCCACTTGGATATAGTTCACCAAGGTAACTGGGAAAAGCTAATTCTGAGACTTTGTGAAGGCATTTTTGGGTAAAGTTTTTTTAAAATACTAGTTTTTTGAAACAGGAAAAGTTACTTATCCTTTTCGGAAAATATTACCTTCTTCACGGAGAAAATCGGTTTTCTGTTTTTCTTATGTACGACTAATTCACTATAACATCTCGACATAAAAAGACAACGTTTCATGCTAAAATCTTCAAAATTTTACCATATAGGTAAAACTTAACTTAGAATTCATTAAAAATAAGAACGAGTTGTCTGAAGAATTTTCAGAGAATCTCCAGAGGATTTGTAAGGGTTTTCTAGAAAACATTTCTTGCAGGCCTCGAGTACTAACTTTCTTCTGCGTAGAATGAGTACTACTATTCAAACTTGGGATGGTAACATTACTGTTACTGTTACCAGTAATACAAATATTGTATATATTTCTATTACTGGTAACAGTAATCTTCCATGTATTCCTATTACTAGTAACAATAATACTGAAAGTATTACTATTATTGGGAATAGGAATATTCATAAAATTAGTATTACTTTTCAGTAAGGTAATATATGAATTTTCTGATGCCTGCAACTTTGCAACGAAAGATCGTGGAGAGCTGTGCGACGCTCCATTTTTTTCAGAATTTTATGCTCTTTTAGATGACTGCACTGAAAATATTTTTAGCAGAATTCTTTAGGACCCAGAGTTCCACTGGAGGGGGTTTTCTAGAAAACGTTCTTCAAAACCTTTTTTCTGGAATGTTGATGCATACTGCATTTGACAGGGAACTTCAAGGGCTATTCAAATCACTATTGTGATTTGACCTAGCCACACAGCTTCATCGAAAACTTTCAAAAATACAGTGGCTCTATAACTTTTTTTAATACTGTACTGGGCCGGTATAATGATTTTTACCTATCTTAGTGGTTTAAAGGAATATTTCTTGAACTCATCTACTCAGACCCAGAATGTTTTATATATTGAAAGATAGAGAATTTTCTGGACTTCAAAATATTGGCTTATTAGCCAATACTAAGATAGTTGAAAATCATTATACCGGCCAAATATTTCGGCTATTGACCCATTTGGATGTATTTTTGAAAACTTTATTTATAGCTAGCTCATTTTGAAGCCTGAAAAATTGTGTATCTTTCTATGTATAAAACATTCCGGGTCTGAACAAAAGCATCAAAGAAGTACTCCTTCAAAGTGTTAAGGTGAGTGAAAATCCTGACATCTGTCTATAATTTTGACAATTGCTCTATGTGGGCATATGTTCAAGAAGCTTGTCAAGAACTCGTTTTGAACTCGGAAAATTCCCTATCTCTATCGAGCAGTTTTTGAAAGTCAGAAATATCTGGAAGTAAAATAGGAGGCATTTGCGATCATTTTCACTCAAAATCATATTGGGCCATTTTCCAACAGAAACCGATATCTGTCCTTTGTCTTTGTTTTATGAAAACATGGTTTGAGGTCTTGCTAGCAAATGATGAAAACCGTAAGTCTCTAGGTTTTATTCCTTTTGAGCTACTCAAAAAATAACTACTAGTCTTGTATTTTGCGCCGATAGTAGTTTCAGTACCAGATAGTTATTTTCGATTATAAATAACATATTACTTGTAATGTCGTAGAAAAGAACGAAGAAAAAGAAGAAATAACACACTTCAGGTATTTTAAAATCGTTCTTTTCTTCTAATACATGATCAAATGGCAGAAAAAGAGCGAGACTTCGGAGTATGGGTGCACTTTAAGTGAAATATATTAACTAGAGAAACGAAGAAAAAAATATGACGTACATGATGAAAAATACTTCACGTCAAGGTTATTAGTAATACTTTATTCGTAGCTACATATAAAGAGTCATACACATTAACAAAAACTCATTTTTATTATTCAAATTTAACGAGAAAGCATGAGTAAGTTTACTGAACAGCTAATAATTATTATTTAAAAATTATTTTTTTCATCTTTAGATTTTATAACAAACAAAGTTGAAGATAAATTAGGTGTTGATTTAAATGGTGATGGTAGAATCGGTGGTCCCGGTATGTCTTCTCATTTTAAAATCTTATCCTCATTCTTAAATCTCTCATCTTCTAGGTGTGTCAGCCAAACTAGAACAGGCTACTCACGTTGATATGAATCGTGATGGAATTATTGGTGGCCATCGACCAACACCAGGCGGAGGTAACTATTACCGTTTTAAAAAAGAAAGGCGGTTGCGTAGATTGCTTATAACTTTTGAAGGGAAAGAGATGGAGACATGCGGTTTTTACCGTTGGATACAGAACATCAGGGGACGTAAACGTATGTAAAAACTAGGCTTCCAGATACGGTCTGCCATGGTAAGCCTTTCGATGCAAAGTATATGAGACCGCCGCTCCTGGACCGTACGATGAATTTTGATTTTCAAACAATGCAATCGTTAGCCCAAATCAAGATCTAAAGTTCTAGGCTAGTCTTAACTCTCTATCTCTTATGATTCAGGAACTATAAGCATTTTCCAATATAGGCCAGTCGATCTTGGGTGATCCCAAACTGGATCAAGATAGGGGTAGTCAACCACGCTGAGTCGAGTGATGATGTTTATTTTTAGTTTCAGACCGACCTAAAGTCATTCTATCAAGATTTTCAAATTAAAGCATTCTACCGCTGTGTTGCGTATAGAGCGGATATTTCGAAAATTTTGATATAGTGACTTTAGGTCGGTTTTAAACTAGAAATAAACATTCCCACTCGACTCAGCGTGGCCGATCATCCCTATCTTGAGCCATTATAAGATCACCTAAGGTCAACTAGCCGAAATTGGGGCTCTAGGAAAAATGCGTATAGCTCCTGAATCATAAGAGATAGAAAGTTAAGACTAGCCTAGAACTTTAGACCTTGATTTGGGCTAACGATTGCACTGTTTGAAAATCAAAATCCATCGTACGGTCCAGGAGCGGCGGTCTCGTAGACTTTGCATCGAAAGGCTTACCATGGCAGACCGTATCTGGAAGCCTAGTTTTTACATACGTTTACGTCCTTCGATGTTCTCTATCCAACGGTGAAAACTGCATGTCTCAAGCTTTTTCCCTTCAAAAGTAATAAGCAATCTCTCCAGTCGCCTTTCTTTTTTAAAACGGTAATAACTCCTTTCTCTACATCTCTCTAATTCTTGTGAACGATTATTTATGTAGGTCTTGTTGGTAAAATTGAAACAGCCACTCATATTGATCTAAATCGTGATGGACGTATTGGTGGAGGACAGGGTTACCGGCATTAATAGTAGACTATCTATATATATATATATAAGTGATACTTTCCCGCACCTTTCCTTTTAAGAAGTTAAAGACTAATTTTTTTTATTACTTCATTTTTATTTTACTGCATTTAACGATGTACGATGTTGTAATGTAGTTTCATTCTAATATTGTTCTAGAAACGTGATAGAAATCGTGTAAAACATGGGTAAAAATAAAAAGTGGATAAGAATAATCAACGAAGTATCGAAAATGAAAACAGAAATGAGAGATCGACCTAGAAATAACTAAATGATATTGTTATTTGATCAGATCTTTTATGAATCGTTTTACCTCACATGGCAACAAAATCATCGACGATATTTATAAAAGAATTTATTTCGTAATTTGAATAAAATACCTACCATCATAACCTTGATATAGTAGTTTCTGGTAGATTTTTTTGATGAAGCATTTTTAATCATTTTAATTGCCATAAAGCTGACTGATATAATATTCGGCGACTACGATAAATAGAATTATACGGTTGTTTGTCACATGAGATTTGAAGTTGTTTATATGTGTTTAATCCATTGTTGTTTATTGTTGTTCATAGACCTATGCACCGTGCTGCTCCCGCCCTTGCGGATGGATAACTAAGATTTTTAGTGCCACTGCCCGGAATGCGTCCAAGTTTTTAGGAGCTTCCGGCCGCCGCGCGTGTTAAAAATACAAACTTGTTTTATCCTCCACCGATAGAAAAAGTTTTGGAATAAAAAAGTGATGAGAAATTAGAAAAACAGGAAGTTATATTGTAATGAGTCTAGTTACTCATTAGAGATTAGTTTCTTATAGCAATGTTTACTTCTCTTCCTCTTTTTAGATTTATTAAACACATATTCTGTTGGATTATTAAGATCTATATATGTATCATCATCTAGACGTATGTTCAAGCCGTAAGGCCTAAATGTACGCATAGTTTTAATCCGGAATAGATCTTTTTTGCGACACATCACTGCATTGACGGGCAGAGAAAACTTTTCTAGGGGGGGGGCCAATAAACCTTTTAGTGGTACCTGAAAAACTTACTTCCCTTCATAATTTTTTGTATAAGATCGCGCGTCTTGCAGAAAGCTGAAATCTGTTCAACTTTACAGAATTTTTTTCTTGAATCTTAATGAATTTTTTTCTAAGTTTTGTTTGAAAATATTCTGCTGAGGACCTTGATAGGATTTGTTTTAGAATGAGACGCTGTCGTAGATTTAAATATGTTGTTCAAGTTGTTTTAGTATATTTAAAAAATTTTCTGAAATTAGTAAAATCAGCTCGATTTTCTATAACGGTTTTATTCTCCTTCTCTTCATGCAGTTTAAATGGGTTCGATACTCTTTCTACGGTTTACCTCACAGCGCTTGCACTGTTTATGCTGCAGAGTAATACGGTCAAGCGATGAAAATATAAAAAACAAAGTTTTACCAATACACATTTTTTCTTAGAGATTTAATGGTTCTACCCTTACTCTTTGTATTAATTTCTCATAACATTCTAACTGCATTTCCTAACTCATTGAAGAAATAGGGAAAAGTGTAGAAGCTCTCAGCAGAAAACTCCGTTGTTGATGTGCTGTTAATGTTTTCCATCAGAGTAATTACTTGAATTCATCAGAAAAACACTCATAGTTTAGAATAAAACAACCACTAAAGATAGGCGGAAGCTCTTTTAGTGGTACCTTTAGAATGTATTTTTTCTATTGTCATTTTTTGAAACAAATTCTGCTATTATATGATAAAAATTTTAAAACCAATGCGGCTATCATATTAAGAATTTTAATAAAAAGCTTTAATCAAATAATAAAAAGTAAAAATTAAACAATTAAAACTAAAACGTTAAAATTATAATTCGATATTTCGACCTATTAATACGGTCATTTTCAAGTTTCTCCTCGTACAGGATGTTACATAAAGTTTAAAACAAAATAATTGATTGTATATTATCTAGTGTTTTTCTAATCGAGGCACACACATCACAAAAAAGGCTGAAAATCCATGTGCATGACAAGGAGAGAGGAACGAAAGAGAACGAGATTATGAATGGAGAATTTTCTTATATGTACATTTTATTTTATTATAAAGAATAGGTTGAATTGAAAAGAAAAGAAATTTTAACTTTGTATGGAAAATCTAACTTTTTTGATACTTTTAATCACTAAAAGTGAAAACTTCATGTAGCGTATAAAGTTAGGTAACCAAGCGTTACTTATTTTAGTTTTTCCAGAAAAATTCAGTTAAAATGAAATAAAAGAGCATATCACTATCGTCGTAGTTATTCGGACTAGTACAGAATTGTTGAGGATTTTTCAGTACATTAACAATCCGGGTTTTATATTGTATAGAAAATGCATTCGATTTTCTGAAGTATCGATTTTGTAGAGAGGAAAATATCTTTAAGAATTTTCTATAAAAATTTCTCAAGCTATTGCCTGATTTTCCATAAAATCGCCCAGTTTCTGAAAAATTAACTGGTTCCTAGAAATGCAACAATTTTTCAGAAAATTGCATCTTGTTTTTCATAAATTCAAAAACACCATTTCTTGTACGGCTGATCAATAGAAAAATGAAAGCATATATAGAGGCCAAAAATCAAGTAATGGCTGAAATACGACTAAAATTTAGTTTGTTTTTTGAATACCTTATTTCTTCTCGTGTTTATTATAATNTCATCGAGCGGAAGAGAAAAATGCTCTTGTCTGTACTTATAATGTGTAGTCCTATAGGCTGTTTCCGTACTATAACAGCGTAGTAGTTCAGCATGCCTTGCATCTACACTGTAAAAAATAACGGCGTGAGCCATAAGAAGCTTATTAGCTTTTCTGACGAGAGAGCTTTTCTCTTTTCGAGACTCGAGACTACCGTATCGAGGCTTCTCGATATTTCTCGTCTCGGTGCATGCCTATCCCAGAGATTTGATATTGCCCCCTTAGAATACACGTACAGCGGTACCGAACGA